ACCATTTATTCGACTGCTCAAACTTCTGGATTACCCGTGGGATATGCGAAAGAACCTCCTTCACGGAAGGTAAATTCCCTCATCTGCTCTGTTTCTGTCTCTATAAATCATTACAAATGTTTTAATTGAGAAAAATTAACAAGGTTTCCGTTTTTATTTCTGATATTTCAGCTGAACCACAAAATTTCATGCATGCGACTCGAACACGAAATCGGTGATCTTCGGAAACGACTGGAGAACATGCGACTTCGCCTGGATGCAGAAATCAGGGTGAACTATTTTATTAAAAATAAAAAGAATACATTACTGTATTTACTCAAGTTGATTGGGATTATAGGCCTCACTCCAGCAAATTTTGGCAGGCAATTTATAGAGGGAAGAACGCACCGAATAAACTGCGGAGGAATTACAATTCCGAAGGAAAATAAATACGGGGAAAAACAGGATCGAAAAGTTGAACGATACTGCGTTAAAATTATTTAAAAAAAACAAGAAGAAATCACCGGGCAGCTTTTCCTTTGATTTACTTTTCTTCCACTTTCATGATATTGAAATTTACGGCAGCACCTTTCAATCACAATGACATAAATTTCGACTTTATAGGGCCCATCTGAGATTTTCTTGAGGCATTTTCTGCGGCCTACAATAAATGAAACAACTACGGGATAAAAATACTGTATGGTCTAAAAGAAAATTTTTGTTTTTCACCGTTCATCAGATAAAGGACCAAGCAGAACTCGAAGTGCGTGAAATTCGAAATGAAATCTCAGACAAGAAGCGGATGCTCAATGAAATTCTAGCTGCGATGAAACGCGCCGGTGCCTCGGAAAGTCACATACTTTTGCTGCCTTCGTCCTCTTTGGCAACACCCTCGAATGGGCCGAAAATGAATGGCCACAAATCAGCAAATCATCATCAATACGTACTCGAAATGACGAGTCGCATCGACTCCAATTGGCGACACGGCAAACGACGAACGATCCCGAGCAAAAGCTTATCAAATTTGGCGAGTTTGCCGTCGGACGCGTGAAATCAAAAAGAAGTTACCGCAAGAGAAAGGAAGAAAAAAAAGATTTCTGCTGCCAAAATACCCTGCATTTTCAGAATGTTTTTGTTTCTGAGGTGCTTAATTTTTTCATTGCTTGCGATTTGAAAAAAAAGTAATAATGCTGCTTGGAAAATGAAGGACGATCCCGCATCATTACAATAAAAAAATAGGTCTTCCCTCGTGAAGAATGAACAAATACGTTTAAAAAAATTCCGCCGCGAACTTTTTTCGATATCTTATAAAGATTAATAAAATCTCCCCAAAACGACGAATACGTTTCAGCTCCTTGTCCTGAATGTTTTCTTCCAGGTGTCTGAAAAAATATTTTTAAAATTTCGATTTAAAACAACAAAATAAATACTTTACTATACTCACAATAAACCGTCCCAATGCTAGACTTCTCTCAAACGGTATTTTTTAAAAAGTGAAGTACAGTACAGTTAAAGTGCATTTGCATGTGAGATGAATTAAGCATGCGTGCAAACGTGACTTTTCGGTAAATAAACAATTCGTTGCGCTTCGACATTTTTTTTTCATTTCCGATTTTAAAGCCGGTCGGTCAGATTTCACACGTTGGAACGACGGATGACAAAATCCCTTAATCACCTGGTTCAAGAATATTTTTAAAATATACGTTTTTGTCTTATTGAAAAACATTCACGCAGAAAAACCTCTATATATATGACTTGCAACTCTTACTGAAGTTTACTCTCGATGCAATAAAATGATTGAGTTTTACACATATAAAAGATGAGGACGCGTCTGACTTCGAATTGTGTAAGTACATAATTATATATTTGTGAGAGACAACATAAGCACACGTGAATGACACCTTTTAAGCACACAAAAAACACTCACTTCATTGAAAAATTATGATGCACAGATAATGTCACAGANGTTCTAAAAATTGGAATACCAAAACCTATCAACACTGAGCCAGTATACTCTCTGCCCAGGAAATAATTTGGCCATTGCAACCTGCATTGCAAAGCCATTGGCATGGCATTTGTGTGCAAAATTGAGGAAAATTAAGGTTGAAATTACCTTGACAACGATATTTCGAAAATTTAATTATTTTTCATTATCAATTTTGACCAGCTTGAAAATTCATTGAATTCTGTATTCCAAGAGATCTGCGCTTGAATAAGGAGTTTTTTTCTTCAAAAATTGGAGTGTACGTTCAGAAATGTATATGAACGTCTCCTTGAAATTATTATTATTTTAAAAATAAAATATTTAATTTTTGAACATTTGTTCACCAGTTGCAGAGAAAAAGCTGGAACTTCGATACCTCAGAGACGAAAGACGATTAGCGGAGCTACGGAAAAACGAATTGATCAAATCCATCACTACAATGCAGGATCAACTGAACCGACGTAGAACTGAGGTGAAAAATGTAAACGCAAATAATAATCATCTTTCAGTTTTGCTTATGAGGTATATAAAAAAAGACAAGTAATGGAGAAAGTTCTCTTATTCCAGCTTCCGTCTCTTATGTATAGTAACGTACAGTATTTCTCCATTTATTTACTTTCGATCGATCAGCAATTGGCTCATTGGCAGCGATTATTCCTGAATGAAAAAAGAAAAAGTGGGGACTTGGAGCAAAACTGTCTTCAAGTAAGAAGGGATTTGGAGAAATTACACAGAACCATTTATTCGACTGCTCAAACTTCTGGATTACCCGTGGGATATGCGAAAGAACCTCCTTCACGGAAGGTAAATTCCCTCATCTGCTCTGTTTCTGTCTCTATAAATCATTACAAATGTTTTAATTGAGAAAAATTAACAAGGTTTCCGTTTTTATTTCTGATATTTCAGCTGAACCACAAAATTTCATGCATGCGACTCGAACACGAAATCGGTGATCTTCGGAAACGACTGGAGAACATGCGACTTCGCCTGGATGCAGAAATCAGGGTGAACTATTTTATTAAAAATAAAAAGAATACATTACTGTATTTACTCAAGTTGATTGGGATTATAGGCCTCACTCCAGCAAATTTTGGCAGGCAATTTATAGAGGGAAGAACGCACCGAATAAACTGCGGAGGAATTACAATTCCGAAGGAAAATAAATACGGGGAAAAACAGGATCGAAAAGTTGAACGATACTGCGTTAAAATTATTTAAAAAAAACAAGAAGAAATCACCGGGCAGCTTTTCCTTTGATTTACTTTTCTTCCACTTTCATGATATTGAAATTTACGGCAGCACCTTTCAATCACAATGACATAAATTTCGACTTTATAGGGCCCATCTGAGATTTTCTTGAGGCATTTTCTGCGGCCTACAATAAATGAAACAACTACGGGATAAAAATACTGTAGGGTCTAAAAGAAAATTTTTGTTTTTCACCGTTCATCAGATAAAGGACCAAGCAGAACTCGAAGTGCGTGAAATTCGAAATGAAATCTCAGACAAGAAGCGGATGCTCAATGAAATTCTAGCTGCGATGAAACGCGCCGGTGCCTCGGAAAGTCACATACTTTTGCTGCCTTCGTCCTCATTGGCAACACCCTCGAATGGGCCGAAAATGAATGGCCACAAATCAGCGAATCATCATCAATACGTCCTCGAAATGACGAGTCGCATCGACTCCAATTGGCGACACGGCAAACGACGAACGATCCCGAGCAAAAGCTTATCAAATTTGGCGAGTTTGCCGTCGGACGCGTGAAATCAAAAAGAAGTTACCGCAAAAAAAGAGGAAGAAACAAAAGATTTCTGATGCCAAAATACTCTGCATTTTCAGAATGTTTTTGTTTCTGAGGTGCTTAATTTTTTCATTGCTTGCAAATTGAAAAAAATAATAATAATGCTGCTTGGAAAATGAAGGACGATCCCGCATCATTACAATAAAAAAATAGGTCTTCCCTCGTGAAGAATGAACAAATACGTTTAAAAAAAATTCCGCCGCGAACTTTTTTCGATATCTTATAAAGATTCATAAAATCTCCCCAAAACGACGAATACTTTTCCTCCTTGTCCTGAATGTTTTCTTCCAGGTGTCTGAAAAAAGTATTTTTAAAATTTCGACTTAGAACAACAAAATAAATACTTTACTACTCACAATAAACCGTCCCAATGCTAGACTTCTCTCAAACGGTATTTTTTTAAAAGTGAAGTACAGTTAAAGTGCATTTGCATGTGAGATGAATTAAGCATGCGTGCAAACGTGACTTTTCGGTAAATAAACAATTCGTTGCGCTTCGACATTTTTTTTTCATTTCCGATTTTAAAGCCGGTCGGT